CTGCCACCTCCCATCTCTCCAGCCCGCCTGGCAAGTGCTCAGGTGGGACTGGTTGTGTGTCCGCTGCATGAGCACGTGGGGATGGAAAACCGTTTTGGGAAAGGAAACGCCATCCCTGCCGTGCAGCGGCATTCTCCCCCGTCAGCTCCCATGGCCACACTGGGGCCACTGGCCCCTGACCGGTACCAGAGCAAAGTGTCAGGGGGCTCTGCGCTAGTACAGGGTCCCCAGAGCCACCAGCGAGAGCTCTCCAGGTGCCCACCACCGCCATCCCATACTCACCCATGGCGCTGGACTTGGTCAACTCCCCTGACCGCCCGCTCAGCTGCTTTGGTGGTGTCCGCAGAACCGCAGAAGCCCTCGCCTGCCTGGCGGTCCCTTGTCCTGTATTTCCCACTCTGGGTGCCTGTCCCGCTCTCCAGCAAAGAAAAGGGCTCTCTGAGTGACAGCCACCCCCCTTAAAGGGACAGGATCCCGCCTCTCCCCCGGCCCCCCCTGCAGCACCCCTTGGCTTCCAGCTCCTGGGTGCCTGGGCAGCTGCGTGGGCAGAGCCGCCCCACCGCCCTGCTCTTTTTTTTTAAAAGAGAAGATTGGGGGGAGCAGAAGGGGGATTCACGGGGTGTCCCCTTGTTGGTGGCTTTAGGGACGTCCCCTTGGCCTGGCCAGACTGTGTTTGCCCTGGGCTGCCCGCTGTGGCAGCAGGGCAGACAGGCCTCACAGGACAGCAATGATGACCCTCTGTCACTTCCCTCAGGCCCCTGGCACCCATCCGCAGGGAACAAGGGTCCCAGGGGTCTGCTTTCAGCCTTGGGGGCTCTAAACTGGGAGCTTTCCCCCTTTTGATGGGAATCTTTTGGCCCCCGTGGGGGAACAGTGTTCAGGTGGGCACAGCCGTGGGGTCTCCAAGTGATGGGTATGGCTCCAGGGCTGCAGCAACCTTGGGTGCCCCATGTCCCATGGGTGCCACAACTTCCCTGGGTATCTCCCTGCTTCCCGAGGTGCTGTGGAGCCAGCGCAGGCTGGGGAAGCCTGCAGAGGGCAACCGGCCCCTTCGCGGCGATCTTGGGGCGGACAAAGCCCCGCTGTGTCCCTCAATGCCCCGCTTTGTACCAGGCAGTGAGGTGGCAGGGCCTGGCTGTCCCTGGGGCTGGGGATGTTGGCAGCCTGAAGGGGGTTGTCCCTGGGCTGTGACAGGCCAGGAGCATGGTGGACCACCATATGGAAACCCCTGCCCCTTCCTCGCCCACCCAAACAGCCAACCCTTGGCTTGCCTGCGGGTGGGTGAGGAGAAACACCACACGGGCGGCTGCCCCCTGCATCGGTGGGACCCAGCTCCTGGTCCCTCAGCACCACTCCCTGCCTCAGTTTCCCACTGCGAGACAGGGTGGCAGGGGGTTGTCCAGTGTCCGCAGCCAGAGGTCGATGGGAAGGGCTGAGGAGGAACAGGGAGAGCCTCTGCCGCTGCTGCATGTGGCATGCTTGGGCACATCCCTTATTCCTTCAGGTGGTACCCAGGTGGCCTGGCAGAGATGTCACCTGGCTGCCATCACCTTGTAATGGCCATGGAAGGGTGACAGCCTTGGAACATCCCTTTGGAAATAACCTGTGACCCCTACAGCCACTGGAAACCAGCAAGGGCCAACCTTCAGCCCAGGGCAGCACAGGGGGACCCCTGGCCACCAGGAAGGAAAAATATGACATTAAAAATCCCCATAAA